CGGAGCGGCCCGACTGCGAGCGGGGACTCGTGCGGCAGCGGCGGCGCGGCGCTCCTCCGCGCGCGCCGTTCGTGCTCCGTGGCGGTGGAAGGGCGGCCGTGCTTGCGGCGGGGGGTGGGCGTCCCGTGCTCCGGCCATCTTTGGCCCGCGCGATGCGCTTCGCCTCCCAATCCGGCGGGTTGGGCCGCTGCCTGCGGTGCCTCATGGCGTTCATGGCGGCTGGTCGTTCCCCCGGCCGTGAGGGCGGCGTGGGGCTGCGGCGGAGCCATCTGCCTCGGCTTGGACGGCCGCGGCGGGCCTGGGCGTGTGCTGTCTTCTGCGATGGATCTGCCGATTCCTGCTCTCTCCGGTGAGCTGGACCTCGGGATGGGTGTGGTGAGTGCGCTAGGCTTCTACGCACGAGGTGTGCGGCGAACTCGGCGTGATGCAGGTGCAGCTCTCGCTGCCTCTTAGATCGAGCTCTGCTCGCTCTCCCGATCTGGAGGCTTCGCATGGTGCGGCGGCCTCTGTTCCGTGGTCAGGCTGCGAGTGCTCTCGCTGGTGTGTTGGTTTGGCTAGCAGGCTGCAGGTTGGGGGTTGTGACACTGCCGGCGTAAAGCCGGGCTCCGGTTTCGGTTGGAGCCAACGACGGCGGTGCCTGTGGGCGCCGTATCCTTGCTGAAGGCGTCGTGCTGCTGGTGTTCGTCTTCCCTCCTAAATTTCTCCGAAGGAAACTTTGGATCTTGGGTCTCCCGGATCGGGCGATGGTGGCGCTCAACGTCACACTCTCACTTGGGGCTTCGTCTTTGAGCTTGCCTTGGCTAGGGTGACTAGTGGCTTGAGGTGGTCCCGTTGGCGGTTCGTGTGGGCGTTAGCAGTGGAGAGGTGGTGCTCTGTCTTCGTGATCTTGGCTCGGCCATGCCTTTGGCCGCGTTGAGGTGTTTGTGTTGGCGGTTGGATGGTGGTGGTGCGGCCGGGTTGGGGTCGACGGTGGTTTGAGATCTTCTTCGGGGGTGTTCTTCTTGTGTTCTTGCTCCTACACTCCTGAGTGTGTTCTCTGCTAGGTGATGCCAAGCGACAGCGGCGGTGGCGCACAGGTGCTGTGGCGCTGTCTCGGCCTCGCGTGACCTTTCGAATGTGCCCCACGGCACAGGTGGTGTCGCGGCGTTGTGCAGTCTCGGATGCGCGGAGCCTTTCGATTGCGTCGACGGTGCAGTGTCATGGTCTTGTTTGCTTGGCGATGCTGACTTCGCCTGTGGCAGATAGGCACCGTGGCGTTGTCTCGGCCTCGCGTGACCTTTCGAATGCACCCCCGGCACAGGTGGTGTTGTGGCGTTGTGCACTCCCGGATGCGTGAAGCCTTTCGATTGCGTCGATGGTGCAGTGTCTTGGCTTGGTCGGCTGGCCAATGCCGTTCGATCACATTGGTGGTGCTTTGTGTTCTGCTGGGATGTGTCTTCCCTCTCTGTTCTCCCCTGTTTGTATGTTTGGAGTATTCTGTTTTTGCTTTATCACTTCTTCCGTGCCCCCCTGTAATTCTGGTTCATTTGAACCCATCTTGCAAAAAGGCTGCAAAGCCTTATAGGCAAATGAATATAATTCAGGTGGTGGAGGGGCCCCCCCTCCTCCCCCGGTGAAAATTCAAAAAAAAATCTAGAAAAAGAAAAAGAAGAGAAGCAATTACGTATGCCCCAATTGATGAGAGAGATAGGATGAGAAAAGAGTATTTTGACAACAAAATATGGAAGAATGGCACAACTTGTGTGAACATGCTTAGGCTTCGGAGAGAACCTTTCTTTAGGTTTTGTCAACTGTTTAGGGATCGCAACTGCTAAATGACACAATACACTTGACCGTTGAGCAACAACTAGCAATGTTCCTGCACACCGTTGGGCACAACATTAAAAATAGGGTAATTGGCGCCAATTTTGGTAGATCTGGTGAAGTCGTGAAATGTTACTTCAAAAGGGTACTCCATGCCATTGGTGAGCTTCGAGATGACCTTATTAGGAAGCCTTCATTGGAGATCCAAACCAAAATAGAAGGAAACTACCGGTGGGATCCATACTTTAAGGTATGTGAGACGGAGTGACAACTATATTTTGTCATTGTAGGCATGAATTTGTTTAGATCCTAATTTTTGGGTTTTGTTTTCACCAAATAGGATTGTATTGGAGCTATCGATGGCACACATGTGCGAGCCTCTATTACACCAGATATGGAGGCTGCCTTTCGTGGTAGAAAGACTTATTCTACTCAAAATGTTATGGCGGCTGTAGATTTTGACCTTCGATTCACATATGTGTTGGCTGGTTGGGAGGGGACAGCACATGATGCTCTAGTTTTACGTGATGCTTTAGAACGTGAGAATGGTCTACGTGTCCCACAAGGTAATAGATGAACTATATACATCTGTATTGTCAATGGGGTATTTATATATATAACCAAGTAACCTGAATGTTCCTCGTTTAGGAAAAGTTTATCTAGTTGATGCTGGATATGGAGCTAAACCGGGTTTTTTGCCTCCTTTTCGTGGCGTGAGGTATCACTTGAATGAGTGGGGAAACAACCCCGTGCAAAACGAGAAGGAGCTGTTCAACCTTAGGCATTCTTCTCTTCGTGTGACCGTAGAATGTGCATTTGGCTCGTTGAAGAGAAGATTCAAGATACTTGATGATGCCACCAAATTCTTCCTATATGCTCAAATACTTGCTGAAATTGTTTCTATATGCTCAAATACTTGCTGAAATTCTTCCTTTATGTCAAAATACTTACTGAAATTACTTTTTTTGTTTCGACAAGGCTCATCCAGAGGACGAACAGTACCTTAACAAGACTATTATTCATTATAAGGAGATGGTGAATATAGCTGGAGGGAGCATGGCTACAGGGCAATATGCAAAAGACTCAAGTGACCCTCTTGCTACAGAAGTGGTTAATCTTGAAGAAGAGACAACCAAGAAACCCACTACCCCGCATGAAGAGGTTGCACAGTCAACCAATGCAGGTTCATCCGGTCCCAAACCAAAAAAAATCCAAACCAAATCCTTCTGCGGAAGACAGGTTACACGCCACCATACTTGCATCTAGTGAAAGAATTGCTATTGTGATAGAGAAGAGTTCTAGCACCGAGAACAATGCCATAGATGGTCTTTGGGAGCGCATGAAAGTACTCCCTGGGTTTAGTTTGGATTACCTTGCTCATTACTATGCATATTTGGTTGACAATCCTCGTGTTGCAATGGCATTCAAGGTGTTGGAAGATGATCAAAAGAAGGTTTGGGTTTCTAGATATGTCAAGAGTACCTTTCATGAAGCGTGAGGGTGGTGGGTGCATATGTAGTGAACTGGTGATTGACTTGTACTTTTGATGCAACCAAAACAGTAACTATGGGTTGTATGGATTAGCTCTTTTCACAACTGAGACCATAACTATGGGTTGTGTAACTATTAAGTTCTAGTAGTACTCTATGGAATGTTGAACTATGAGTTTATATAATTTTAGTTTCAATAATACTAGAGGTTTAATAAAAGTTTATTTTGTTTTTACTTATTTATTAAAGTTTATTTTGTTTCTACTTATATATTTTCTTTTCTATTTTGCTTCTTTTATTTATTTTATGAAAATTCTTTCTTTTTTGCTTTATTTATTCATGAAAAATCTTTTTTCTTTTAATGTTTTACACACAAAAGCCCTCTTCCTTGGATGGTTCATTGGTCCCGGTTTGTGGCTTGACCCAGTCCTAAAGACCTCCCTTTGGTCCCGGTTCAGGCCGCCAACCGGGAGCAATGGTGATGGGCCAGGAGCGAGGCCCATTGGTCCCAGTTCGTGCTACCAACCGGGACCAAATGGGCCAGACAAACCGGGACCAATGGCCCCACGAGGCCCGGCAGGCCCCCTGGCCTCACGAACCAGGACCAATGGACCCATGGGTACCGGTTCGTGACCGAACCGGGGCTAATGGGCTTATCTGGCCCGGACGTATGCCCTGTTTTCTACTAGTGTAATCCCCTCCCCATGTTCGTGTCGATCCGCCACAGCCTAGAAGGCAGATCTGAAGTCTCTTTAGCCATTGCCATGTCATGACATACAATTGAATGTCATGCATTACCATCATATAAATATATGATGTCTGTTGTTGGACATACAACTTATAGGCCACCGTGTCTATATTAACACTTGAAGCAAGAAAATAATGCATTCATCTTTTTATCCTAACCAAATATGACTTGATTAACGGCTCAGTCATGCAATTTGCGACATTTTATAAAATAGGGAAAGTAGGCATAGCCGGTCCCAAGCCCGGGTAAAGGAGGAGGGTTGTGATAGGCTTGGCGAGCCAACGTAAAAACTAGGCAGTCCCATAGGTATGAAACTCATTTAAGCGAGAGTAGTACTAGAATGGGTGACCTCCTGGGAAGTTCTCGTGAAAGGTTTTCATATCTAAGGGTTGTGATAGGCTTGGCGAGCCAACGTAAAACCTAGCCAGTCTTTTGGGTATGAAACCCCTTCGGGCGAGAGTGGTACTAGGATGGGTGACCTCCTGGGAAGTCCACGTGAAAGGGTTCATATCTAGTCTACCCCAACTTCTTTGGGATAAAAGGCTTCATAAGTAAGTAATTATTCCGGTCGGACAACCGTAATTGAACAAACCAACCCCAACCCCAACCCCCAACCCGCTCACTCTCAACCCTTATTCTTATCACAAAATGCATTAACTCGTGTTCTAGGTGAGCCCATGATCGATGCCGCCATGATTGCAATTGAGGGCGATAATGGGTTGTCGGCCACTTGCATGTCCACCACCAGGATGCAACTGCAAGTGTTGTAACCCAACTGAAATTTCACATGGCCCATAAAGTGATCTTAACCAGGGGCTACAAGTAGTTCATGTCGTCCAGTCGCACGTCCAACACTACACAAGCAATTGTAAGGGTTGTAAACATGATGAAGATCTTTTTAGATACGAGATGACCTTTTTTAACAAGCGGTGAATATATTATTTTGTGGGAAATGCGGCGAACATTTTTAAATATGCGGTTAACTATTTTGAATATGCAGCGAATATTTTTTTCAAATACGTCTTGAAACATTGTTTCAAAATAATTGACAACGTTTTTTTTCTAACTACGCGGTTAACATTTTTTAGAACCAATATGTGAACGGTTTCAATTTATGCATTATAAATATTTTGTTTTTCCTGTTTATCATTTTTAAAACAATTTGATGGATATTCTAAAAATAAATAAATACTTAATGTCTACGACAAAACCGGGATTGATCCTGCGACAGAGGCATCATGCTGGCGACTACTACAGGATAGAGTAAAAACTGAAAATACATCGAATAAAACATTCTCCTTTTTTTTGAGACAGCGAAGAAAACACTCCAAAACTGGGTTCAACAACCAAAAACATAAGGGAAACCTTTGGAATCGGCGAGCCGGCCGAAATTCGACTGGTCGCCTCGCTCGCTCACGCGGGTGCGCCCTCACGTCACACTCTGGGCCCATGCGCACCGCTTGCTTTTTCTCTCCTTCTTATCCAACCCGACGCAGCAGAGCCACTCGTTTCACCCGTCTCTTTCCTTCCAATCCCCCTCACTCCCACTCCCGGGCATGGTCAATCTTCCCCGACGAGCGACATTTTCCTGATGTGGTGCTGGTGCGGCTCCTTCCTTCCTATGGCTATGGCGCTCGCCTGGCTCCTCCTCTCACGGATTTGACGGGGCAGTCCTGCAACTGGGGCAGCGGAGGCCATGGGCGGTGCGGTGAGCAGCAGTTGCTCGACGATGGAGACACGCACCCGAATGCTACAACCGGTTAATTCTTTTGCTGGGACCGGCTGGGTAAAAGGCTGCAACCAACTACTGTCGCGGTGAAGACGGCAACGCACACGGCGACGGTGGCTTAGGATGGCAAAGCCCGCCGTCGGTTGCAGCACCGGAGCCCGCCATCGGTTGCAGCACCCGTGGCACACACAAACCGGCCATGCATGTTACAACGACGGTCGTCAATGTTTTCTGTGCTTCAACCGGGCGTTGAAAAGGCTGCAACCGACCATCTAAAAAGCTACGATGACGGCGTCCGACGGGGACGCGGTGCTGGAACCGTGGCAGCGGGATGCTGGAACCAGTGGTGTTTTTTGCTACAAGGACGGTAATCTTTTGCTGGAACCGGTGATCGTTTTTGCCGCGCCCGACTGTGATTTTTGCTGGAACCGATGTCTAGTTTTGCTGGAATTGATGATTTATTTTGTTGGAACCAGCAAAGGGGGTGACGGGATGACTGGAGTGTTGTTTTTTGTTGGGATCGACGGTCGTTTTTGCTGTGTCCGGCGGTGTTTTTTGCTGGAATTGTCGTTTCTCTTTGCTGGAACCAGCAAATGGTGTGATGGGATGCTGGGGGTGGCACGCATGGCGACCTTCAACCGGCGACGCTCGATGAGGATGCGAGACGCAAGGCCCGGCGGCGTCGATGCTGCTACCATCGATGGGCGCGGGTGCTTCGACGCTCGACGAGGATGCGAGATGCAAGGAACCAGTGGAGAATTGATGTGGCAAAGCTGCATCCAGCGACATAATTTGCTCCATCAAGCATCGATATTTGCTGGAACCGGCAACGGTGTGGGACGGCCACACGACGCCACCAGAGTTGCTACTGCGGCAGCGGCGGCCGATGTTGCCATGACCGGGCCGGCGACTCTACAGCGACAACGCGATGCTCGGCATGACGGCGTCACCAAGCTGCATCGGACGCAACAGGGCTGCTAGCAACGACGGCGGCCTGTTGAAGGACGCAGCAAGGCTGCTGGCGACGACGACCTGCTGACGATGACGGCGACCTCGCAATGCTCGGGACGACGGCCATGGCGACGAGCGTGGGTCGCGCGGTTCACCAGCAAGCGCAGGCGGCAGCGAGGGCAGAGTCTGTCGCCAACACAAGTTGTTGGTGTTGTTGGTCAACGCGAGATGCAAAAGAGTTGCGTGGGAAATCAACGGGTGGAGGTTGGCTCATCCAACGGCCAGGCTGCGACCGGCCGAGTGCTTGGCCGGCGCGCCGGCGCAGAGTACTCCCCATAACATAATGTACAGGCAGGCACACTAAGACGTACATGCTTCTCTTTAGGACACATACCTTTGCTCTAGTACGAGCGATAGGAGAAACAAAAGGCCAAGCCCAAAAAAAAGACACGATACATGCAAATCGTGAGTAGAAGAAAAAAGTCTAACCAACATATGTGATGATGTCAGGTGAATGAGATCATAGATAAATCTCGGCTCGCAGAGTTCCAGGTGCTCCCTATCTTAAATTCAACTTACTAAATAACCATAAAATAAATAATGTTTTAAAACTATACTAAGAACTTGCTCACTCATTTTGGGGTCAATGTGATCTAGATGTATGATTCGGTCATCATTTAGAAAAAATCACCACGATTATTTCGTAATATTAGAAACACGATGTTAATGTGCATGGTGTACACGGGAGCAGAAGTCGATCGCGATAAATCGTGGAAGAAATCAATAGTAGTAAAGAGAAAACTAATGCTGAAATATTAATTCAAATGAATAATCTGTGAAGTTAATAATACGAAATTTTGCAATATAAAAAGTTAGATCCCAAGCCTTTTTCTGATATCTTGGATTGGAGCAATGGCAGGCTGGGGCTGGAGCCAGTGCATGTTTTGTGCCTCGTTGTTAGGCCAATCTGGATCATCAATGCGCTCCACGAGACTGGTCTCGTCATTGACAAAGCTGTACATTAGCACGTCATTCC